TACAATGACTTCACATTGCGTGAGCATGCCAACCAAGTTGAGGCTGAGGAATCCAGCCACGACACAGGCAGTCCTTTCATCTAGTGTGCTTCGAAATTGTCATAAATTATGACTGTTGGATGTATTGCCAGGGTTCTGGAGCCAATTTTCATGGATAAGAGGACTTCAGGAGTATTTGCTACCACCCTGCTACTCAATTGGTTAACCAATATCACCCCTCTCTGTGACAGTGGCTTTATACACAGCTTCTGCCCTATTCAGCATAACAGGCATTTTACTTTTTGAAGACTGAAAAAGATAAACTGTGGGTGTCAGAGAAGTAACACTACTAAAGGCAGAAGTAAGTCAAACCACTTCAAAACTACTTGTAAAGTTTCAGGCTGCATGCACTGAGCCCTGAAACTGAAAGAAACCTCAGTTTTCTTACACTCATCTTTGAAAGTCAAAATAGGCAGGAAGGGTGACTATGAAGAATGTCCATACCTTCGTGGATAGAAAATTTAAGTCATGCCCCCATTAGCTTGGCTTTGGGTTAGTGACTAGTCTACCTCTTCTTCTCTTTACTTCCATGATCTCCACATCTTCATTCATCAAGTTTAGATCTTCCAAAGATACTGAGATGTTATATTCAGCAGAGCAGAATATAGTGAACTTTCGGAGCACCTCACATGGTGCTCTTACAGAATGGAATAATCTAGAGTCCTTTAAGTAAATCTCCAGCTGGACTGGTTAGATGGGGCAAATGCGCACATGATTTTCTGGGACACCATAGTCAATGTATTTCTTTGATAAACAAAAGAAGCTTCACGAAACACAGTGTTTAGGGAGCCAGAGCTGGGGCTGCAAACATGGTCTGCTTTGTTCTTCTGGGAACTGGTTCCTGTCTGAAACATTTCTCCATTGTAAGGATCTGTCTTTTCTCCTCCTGCCACAGCCCTCAAGCTACAACAACAGACTCATGACACTTTTTTTTAGATACCAAAGTTATGAATACCCTTTTATGAATATTTCCCTTTGAACTCACTTCTTGAAGAAGAAAAATAGCTCTACACACTGCTCTTAGGGGCTGTAAAACGCTCCAAAATGCACAACAGAAAATTCCTAATGTGGGGTAATATATATGGCACACCACCTCTACAGCTGTAATTCTCAAAGAGTAATGTTTCTGACTGGTATGAATTACACAAAATGCATTAAAGAGATTACTATCAAATTCATGCTCCAGAGTATCTCCCTTAATGACATCATCATTGCTTCCCTGGGATTCTGTATTAGTGATACAGAACGGTGCTTGGATACAAAGCAAGGAAGCTTTTGTTGCATTAAGCTGCTTATGTTTTCCCTTCCCCCATATCCCATCTCAACACATCTTCCAACTGCCTCTAAAAACAATTCTATGAATGCCAACTCAACAGATTATAATACATCTATTAATTTCACTCTCCCTTAAAGGGAGCTTATCATTTTGGTTTATATTCTGTCTACAGCACTGTCAACTAAAGTTCAGATTCCTGGCTAAAATGATTTTCCTGCTGCTTATTATCACTTAAACCATGCATCTTCAGTACAGCTATTTATTTTCTGGTGCTAAAAAGAATGTGTCTTCCACAAACTCATCGTGTGTGTGTGTGTGTGTGTGTGTGTGTGTGTGTGTGTGTGTGTGTGTATTCTGGAAAACTCAGCTCCCTTTAATCCCACTTTGTGGCTTACATTCTTTAGTCCTGGAGCCACTTGCATTGATTTCTGTTATACTCAGGCTGATGCAAAAATAGCCTTTGGTTTGGCAGAGAAATGAACTGCATAGAAGCAACATGACTTTGATACCTAACACTGTGAAGTGAATCTTAGCAACGAAGGTTCGAGAATGTGACCCAGACTGAAGGAACCACCTGGGAAATGTTCAACATGCAGATGTCACTTTGTTTAACATTAACAATATCACGGAAAGTTCTAGACCACAGAATATGTGTGAGCTTTAAGGCTAGACTCTCAAACTCTCGGCTCAGATTCCACTTTTGCCATATATTGATTACATGATTTTGAAGAACACACTTAACTATTCTGTACAGTATAAAATAGAGGTGGTAACCCCACCTACCTCCTGGGATAGTGTGAGTACTGCACTCCCAAAAAATACACAATGCGCTTCTAGTATTATCTGTCACTCAGAATTGCCATTCAATGACTGTTTGCTCCTTTGTTTGTTTGTTTTGTTTTTCGAGACAGGGTTTCTTTGTATAACATCTCTGGCTATCCTGGAACTTGCTTTGTAGATCAGGATGGCCTCAAACTCACTGACATCCTCCTGATGATTTGCTCTTGAAAGGGAGGTAGCTCAGCTGGCAGAGTACTTGCCTAGCATGCACAAAGCCCTGATGTTCCTTCCCCAGAACCTCAGCAACTGTATACATGTCAGATGGAAAGAGGATAACCAAAACTTCAATGTAATCGTTACAATAAATCTTTCCGCCAAAAGCTGCCAAGCCCCACCACCACGTGTGTGCTTTACACCAGCTGCCTGCCCAAGTTAGGGCCCAAATTAATACACAGAAACTTGTATTAGGTTCAAATGTTGCTTGGCCAATGACTAGGATTCTCATCTGTTAGCTCAGTCATAATTATCATCAATATATATATTTTATAAGACTTATCTTATAGAGGATGCCTTTCGCTGGTGCCCTCTCTTGCCGGTGGCTCACATCCTACCCCTGGAGGAGGCAAAGGGGAAAGGGGACACTTCCTGTTTCTCCTTGCTTAAATATGAGTCTCCTTGCTATGTCACTTCCGTCCTGGATCACCACTTCTCTCTGACACCCAGAATCCTCTTTGACTCCTAGTCCTGTCTAACTTGCTGTTTCATTGGCCAAACAGAACTTTATTCAACAATCAGTAAGATAAACATACACAGAAGTACTTCCCCCATCAGTAATCTCACCTACATAATGAGTTCAAGGCCAGAATGGCATAAATCAGACTATGTCAAAAAGAAAAAAATAAAAAAGTTAAGTGGAACTGGTGAGATGGCTCAGTGGTTATGAACATTTGTTCCTGAAGAAGACCTGGGTTTGGTTCCCAGCACCCACATGGTGGCTCACAACACTCTGTAATAGTTCCAGAGGACATGGCATCTCCTTTTGACCTCTCAGGGCATCAGGCACATGCATGGTGTACAGATAAAATAAAATAAACGAATCTTTAAAAAGTTAAGTTAAAAAAAGTTAAGTTACAAAGACATAACATCCTTATAACCTGAGAAATAGCACTGTAAAATAAAAAGAAATCCTAGGAAGATGTAACTGTGTGAAATATGAAATTACAATGTTTAGATGTTATAGTGACTATTGTTAGTATTCAGGCATCTGTACTGGCCTGTTGGGATTCTGACAGGATCCCCCCTCAGCTGCAGCCACTAAGAGCACCACCTGTGCACACTCACCACGTTCCCTTCTAAAAGGGCCCGCCCACCTCCCATCCTCCCTCTTTCTTTCCCACTCTCTGTCTGTTTCTCGCCCCCCCTTTCTCTCTCCTCTCTCCTGCTGCTCCTGTCCCTGGGGGCTGGTCTCTACCTCCCCTTTCCCCCTTTTATGATACCTTTCCCTAATTAAAAAAAAAAGGCCCACTTGAACTCTGTCGAATGAGACATCTTTCTCTCGAATGCCACTTTTTTAAAACTACAACAACTATAAGTTGTATATAATTATGCAATTGTATATAATTATGCAATCATATAATTAAAATCATATATTTTCTTTTCCTACCTAAAACTTAGGTTTTAGCAAGTAAATTACTTTCCATTACTTCCTCTGTCGTTAAACTTAAAGCCAACAATGTTTCACAATGAGCTTAGTTTATGTCACTCTCTACTTGCCCTCAGAAAAATAAGTGAATGTCTGCCCTGAACATAGAACATACAAAGAGAGATTAGTGGCCCCAACTAACTTCATTTATATGGAATGCTCTATTCCCCAGAGTGTTCATTTGATCAAGATTGTTATTTATAGATAATTGTTTCCTATCTCTAAAGATAATCTAGGATGCCTAATTGTCTCCAGAAAAAAAAAAATGTTATACTTTATCAAACCCGGATACCAGAAAATCTAGTTGCAAGAGAATTATCAGTTTATGTGCTACTGTTATGAGCCCTTTCACATTAAACCTTAAGGATACACTTGGTGATCTTTTCTGTCTTCATCTCAACCCAAGATCCAAATAGCAAATACACGCCTTATAATTATATTAATGGGGGAAAGTCCCCCAAAGCTAGAGATATGATTTGATTATACTTATATAAGAAATATGTACAATAAAAACCAAGACCAACTGAAGAGGCAATAGTGATTCTGTTAATACAATGGGATTATACTTTTGTATCCTTTTTTATTGTTTCATTACCAACTATATCATTTTTACAAAAAAATGAGGTGTAAAACTCAAGAAAACTGTACTATGTATTGAAACACACACTTTCTCACTTATGGACATGGAAAACGCACTCATTATATAACATTGAATTCAGACTTTAATTTCCAAGAAATAAACTCCACAAAGCTTTCGTGAAGAAATTTAAGGGCTGTCAAAATACATGTCTGTATTGTATTCCACAACACATTATATAAGACACCGAATAATATAACATATAAAACTACACCTATCTATTGTACACCATCATCATCATATTTAAGTACTGTTTAAAAGTCTATGGTATTGATAAGTGAATCTAATATCACTTTAAAGTTTTCACCTAAAAGAGTATCAAAAGTTATTTGTTTGTTTGTTTGTTTGTTTTACATGTTCTTTTCTTGTCTCCAGATGAAAATAAGTGAGCAATTAAAGGCATCTTAATTTTATGGTTCACTGATCACATATTCAAAAACACCTACAGAATGAATCTGAGGTATGGAAGTTTTACATACAACATATACCTGGAATCAGATTGTTTAAACAACACCTTGACTTTTGCATTTGCTACAGAAGCAATTACCACGACCTAAATTCAAACATTACAAGTGAAGATATTCCAACACAAAGACTTGAATAATTTTGTTTAGATTGTCAATGGTTGACTCGTCCAGATTTTCTTCATTGTCGTCCATGGTATGCCAGACTTCAGGGAAAGGAGAAGCTATCAAATGAAGGACCGGAACACCTGATGCAAGAGAAGCAACTTGTAAGTTAGTACACATTTCCAGGGGTCAACTAGAAAGTGATATTGGTGAGCAAAGAAAGCTCCATATCATATAAGATACTTGATAATTCATTGTCTCATATGCATATCTTTGTGTCTTGAAGTATGAGTACTTCAAGGATTGTCAAACAAATGTCAGTAAATGTAGTAAGGGATGCTAAGGCACCTATTGTCTGTGAGAGCTTGTTCTAGGAGTGAAATGGCAAGACCTTGCTGATGTGGAGTTTATATCCTAGTGGAGAAACAAGCAGGCACATACAAGATGCAATCATAGGCAGTACTAATGTGTTTCAACAATAACTAGATGGGCTATGGGGATAATGATGGAGGGTGAGCAAGGGGACTGAACCAGGAGCTATATAAATCCAGGGAAGGCCCTCACTAGAAGCTAACATTTAAATAGAGGCACAAACCCAAGAGAAAACAAGCCAGGCAAAGATGAGTACTGTGGGCAACAATATTCCCAAGTTCGAAGATCATGAGTCGCCCTGAGCAGGGAACAGCAAGCCGGCCAATGTGGCCGAATCACAGAAAAAAGTTGAGAAAAGAAGGAGATGATCTTGAAACAGAATCAGAAAATGGAAGCGACTTTTAGGCCACAGTAAAGATTTTCCATCTTACTCTACAAAACAGAAAACCACTGGAGCTTTAAAACAGTATTGGCATAATTTGATTTACAATTTTAAAAGATTATTCTATTTTATGTGCAAAAAATGAGATGTAACAATAAAACTCAGAGGCCAGTGAGGAGGCAATTTAAGAGTTACTGAGTTAACTTAGGTTTTCACATCTGGACACAGGTTATCTTTCTTATCAACCAGGGCACATCAAAGTTGCAAGAAGAGCAAGAATATATCTTAACTTTATGAACAGCAAGGCAGGATGTCAGTGGGCTCTGGGATTTCCTAAACATATTATAGGTATGGAGAAACAAAGATGTCATCAAGAATTTAGGAGATCTTTCACGAGAAAAAAGAATCAGTGAGTAAATGACATAATGGCTGAATAAATGGCTGATTTATTATATTTAGTGACTCACTACTTCTAGATTGTTTCAAATCAGGGAAAACAGTAATTATCGTGTAAGTTCAGTGCTGTATACAAAGCTCAACTTAGATATTGTCCTAAAGATTAAACACACAGGTGTTTAAGAACTGGAACTCAGAGAAAGGGAGGAGTTAACGACAGCTCTCAGCACTCTGACTTGAGCAACTGGATAAATGTGCATCATTTAATGAAAAGGGCAAGTCTAGGGAAGAAACACTCCATGCCACTTATCCTTCCATGTCAATGAACAATGACAGGCTCTATCATTTCATCTGACAATTCAAAAAAGATCAGGCTGCTAAAGGGAGGGTCTTTTGTTTCATTTTATTTTGCCTGCATTTACTTTCTTTTATTTTTCATACAATATATTTTGATCATATTCTTTCCCTTTCCTCAGCATTATCAAGATCTTCCCCACCTCTCTACTCTCCAAATTTCATGTTCTTTCCCTCTCTCTCTAAAAAACAATCAAAACGAACAAACAAAAAGGCAAAGAATATCAAAGCAAAATACACACACACACACACACACACACACACACACACACACACAATAGAGTCAATGTTATGTTAACCAATAGGACCTACCCTGAAGTGCAGTTAATATACTCACTGTCACTCTATTGGAAAAATTATTTCCCTTTCCCAGTGGATATAAATTGTGAATCACTTCTTGGTTATGGATGGGACTGTGTGTCCAATTACTTGGTAAGTGGATATTAAACTATTACAAGCTACATCTGAATAGTACCTGGCATCAATACAGACCAGGTAAGGGTGTGTCTAGATGTATCCTTATCATTGGTTTAATTATCTAATGTCTATCTTGTAGATATATAACCAGAAGACACATGTTGGCCAAAAATTTTTCACAGCAAAATATGTTTTAATATTCTTTTAAAGATAAGTTCTCATTCAAATTAATTTTAATGACTATTCTAGATCTTTTAAAATACTTACATTGGTCAAACATTAATATATAAATTTAATTTGATCAACCTTAAGGGATCATGAGATTAGTGATTCAATGTGTACCAATATTATTAATATTTAAATTTCTTCTCAAATATATGCAGTAATTGGGGACCTAGAAATCTTCACCATTAAAGAAAAGATACCTAATGATACCCGGGAGCCAAGTAAGGTTTGGGGGAATAGGGAGGTTCTTTTTGCATTGAGCAATGGTAACTGCAGAGACACATAACTGATTAAGATGGGGAGAATAAATGTCTGTTGAATGTTAAGCCATAAATTAAACATCTATATCATCTAAGGCTCAGTGAGCATCAAGGATGAGGGGTGAAAAGGATGGAGGAAACAGGGAGTGTGGGGAGAATGGTGTGAAAGGCAAGCATGGCATGGCCACGGGCACTCTTGAACTCACAACATCGGAATCTGTACAAGATCTTCATAAGATTGGGACCACAACATCATGTCATAGAGGATTGAATATCTCATGAGATCTCACCCCTCTCTGAGGACTTATATATGCTTATAATGGTTGCTGGGAGGAGGAAAAGACACATCAGTGGTGCAGGTCCTGATGAGATGCCTGTAAATAACCCTTCATCTCTTCTCCTGTAAGCAACCCTAATAAAAACCACTGGGTCATTTAAAAATACATGAAAGGGGAAGGGAATGACAAGACAGGGAGGGGACAAAAGAGGCAAAGGGAAACTAATATGATCAAACTACATTGTATACATATATGAAAATGTCATAATGAAACACACTATGTACAACTAACATAATAATCAAAATGAAAGGTAAAAAAAGAACATATAAATGATACTGTTTTAAAATTTCAAAATGCACATAAAACATAATAAATATAGTAGGCATTTATGCACAATGATACACAGTTACCTTTTCTTAAAAATGGAATATGATCATCCTGGATAATATTTCCGTAACCAAAATTCTGGAAATACCTCCTCTCCAAAGAATGATCCTTGAGCAAACCCAATTCATAGAGTTCTTGTTCTGCAGACAACAATCAGATAGTAGGTGAACATCTAGTTTTATCTGATCAAGATTCAGAGTCCATCCTTATTTAGGGAGCTTGATATCAGCAAACATAGCCACATCTATGACAATAAGTGCCTAGGCTTCACCTGTGTAAACTATAGAGGAGATTAGAGGCAAAGAGTCAAACATGACTCTGGCTTTTCTGGTGAAACCCTCTTTAAAGGTAGAAGCTCAACAAAACAATGGAAAGATTGAGAAGGAGAAAATAAGAGTCAAAGGTGTTGGGAAAACTCAAGTGCAGATATAAATAGGCCCAAACGGTGCATGGGGAATGCCTACAGAGGGATGTTGGGCTTAAAAGTGGAATATTCAAACAGAGTAGAATGAAATATATCAACTGGCCACTCTGGGGGAAAGACTCCTACTGTGGCCTATATCAGTGATTCCCAAGATGTAGTTCCTGATCAGTGGCCTCAAGCACCACCTGGTAATGACTTCGAGGTGCAAATTAGCTGGTACAACCTCAGATTTAATGAATCAGAAATTCTGGGGTATGTAACCTATGCCTTAGCATGCACTCAGGGGATTCTGATCTACACTAAAGTTTGAGAACCCATCGATCTTGTTATCTGGTAACATATAGCTTGTGTTATACATAGCCCATGTGACGTTTGTTACAAGATGATAAGAGATCAAGTGATTATGAAACAAGAAAAAAGAACTCCCTAGGATAGCTGTTCGTTTTGTGATTGTTAAATTACAAGGATAAAACTGTACCAACCAGTAAGTAAGCCTGTATAGTGGGATTTTAAGAACATTGAGAAGTCCCAACTACCAACAAACATAATATTCCTATTTATCTATATTTATGTTTCCTTAAACATAGGGTACAATTGAAGACATAGTTAATAATGTAAAAACCATGAAGAAGAATAGCACAATAGATTTTAATCTCAATTACAATAATCACAATTTATTGATATGTGCATTTTGGAAAAGGAAATAAGGGAGTCCTTGAAAATAAGACAAAGGAAGAAAATAGGTGACAAAAAGAGATGGAAAATTGAATTAAATTCAAGAGTATCTCTTGGCATCATTTCTAAGACTCTATAAATGTAGTGTTTTGATGTTTGCATTTCAAAATAGAATTCCATGCAGGAAAATACTGGGCCTCTTGACAAATTAGGAATAATAAACTAATTGGTAGGGTAAAACAAAAGCCAGCCAAGTATGTTAATATTTGAAAAGCACACTTAATCATAAATTTGAATTTTAAAGCTTATCAGTAGGAAGAAACAAAAATTTGCTCTTTAGTAACTGTGGTGCTTACCAATTGCTTGGAGTCTATTAAACCATCTTGTAGTCCTAGGGAAGAAATTGGGAAATGTTGGGTTTGCAGCTCCAATTAAATCTAGTAAGACCAACAAATCCTAAGGGAGAAAAACATCACTTAAATGCATTTTAATACTTGAGAATCACACAGAGAACTTATATAAATGGACAAAGGGTTTAGTAACAGTATTTGCTAACCATTTTAGAGAACCTTTTAGATCTTGTTTATGCAACACCGATGAATGGTGATGTATTATACACCAAATGAGCGTAACCAAGGATAGATTAGAAATGCAGATTTGATGCATATTTCACGAATTGAAAAAGAATACATTTGCTTTGTTTTCAGACAGTTCAAACATGCCTGATTTTCTATGCCATTGTAATTAGGCATTTTAACTTTAATCTGTAATGATAGGGGTGAATGTGGATGGGAGCTATGACTCATTCAGCATGCAAGAAAAATTCCTCTAAAGCATGTATACATCATGCTGCTGGATTGCCATTTCCTTGTGTAGTAAGCAAGGCTTCTCAGTCCAGCTGCTCTGTAACATCTCCTGATTACATAACCTTCCATATTAAACCAACATTCCTTAGCTTATTTCAGTCATAAAGCATCAGCAGCCTTGAGGACTCCCTGAAGACCACATCCAAAATTAATAACGTGTGGGTATACCTAGAGTGAAATTTGCCATATATTGAATAAATGTTTTCAGAATTCATGATTCCAAAGACATAGTATACACAAATGATATATACATACACACATATATAATTGATACACATATTCATTCATTTGGAAAAATGCTTGTTTGAAATAGGAACATATTCATGAGATTGGATAAGTCTCTGTCTGAGAAATAAATGGTCCTTCCATCACTGTGGGTCACATATCTGGACTGGTAAATAATTACTAATTATCTATGTCTCTCCTCCTTTTCTGGACCCATTTGAGCCACTCAGGAATAAATGAATGAGTGAAGTACTGACTGCATGTTTTTGGCCAGTGGCAAGGTGTCAATGTACCTGAGAAAGTCATGCTCATATGAGGAGTTCTGGGGAAACTCATAGATGACACTGATTGTTCATTTGATTTGTAGGGTGAAGGCCAGAAACATGAGAAACAACGGGATGCATGCAGGCAGAGTGGAGGGTTAGAGAAAGTGACAAGAATAACGTGGGCAACACTGGGAGGAAGGAAGTTCCAAGCGTAGCACATTCTAAGCTGGGGTTGATGAGGTCTTAGTGACAAAATGAAGATCACCTATGCGAAGAGAGTCATAGGAGAGTATTAATGGCCAGGGCACAGAATTAGGAAGAATGGAGGTTGGATGCTGTGCCCACTACTTAGTAATAGCAGCAGGATTTTAAGCCATCCTTAAGTGTCTCTACCCTCACATCAAAAATACCAAATCAACATACCACATCAAACTGAACATTCACACTGCAGTCACTATACTGCTTTATCACATGGGAAATTTCTCACTCTGTCCTCTTTGCTCCATTCCCTGAGGTCCCCGTCCTCCTCTGACAGAGAGAGGCTTTCTCTCTCCATACCACACAGTATTTGGGGCAGGGAGTGCTCTTGTATTGAATCTAACGGCTCTTTAATCTGATTTTCACATCATCTTAATTAAGCTCAGCCAAACAGAGCTTCTAACGCAGAATCATTCTTTTTAGCTCTGGGATTCCTCAAAAATCTAGTGCTTGCCAAGGAATGTTCTACAATAAACAGTGCTCTGAGGATTTCGTGGCACTTTTAGGTCTTGGTCCTCACAGCCTTCTCTCTGGAGACAGAGACTGAGCTACAGAGCCGAAGTAACTCAAACTAACCATGCCATCCAGTTGGTTGGTGCCTCTCGAGCCAGGAGGGTGTGAGGTTGATGCCATCTTCTGGGCTAAGTGCCGAGATCCATACAGAGAGTCTCGAGGGGACCAGTGAAGAAAAGCCTCTTCTCCATCAAAGAAAATTAGCCGAAGTGAGAGATCTGGCTTGGAACCAGAGACATCCTGGTTAAAAAAAAAAAAAGTACAATTTGAAAAATAAAAAAAAAAAAAACTCTAACTCTGACCAATCACAGACTCCGAAACTATATTAAAAAGCACTTAATGAGGATATATTGACCTGGGATTGTCTTCAGAGATATCTATGAACACTATAGCTTCAAGATGGATTCATGGGGGGGGGGAGCAAAAATGCTACAGTTAATTAAAAACTCACATTCTTTCCTAGTAAGTGCGCAAAAAGATGTTCCATGAAATAAAGATGTCCAAACAAGTGAAGATAAGCCAAAAGTTACATCACACCACTTCAGCTCCAAACATTATCACACCATGCAAATCCCACTCCTTCTAAAAGTAAATGTCTTACATTTGGTCTTACTCCCTATCGAATAGTTAGACTGTGGGGCTGCTGTAATGAACAGAGGCATGCCACAGAATCCCTTCAGGTGGATGTGTTGTCCCAACTGCAGCCTCTCTTGGGCTGCACTTCCTGGGAGTGTACGGTATCCCATGACTACCTTATTCAGCCACCGGGGCCTCTCTATAGAGCCACCACCTCCACACCTCCCCAGAGGTTGGCTGAGGCTGCTGTAAAACCTGCACTGCAGCACCATTGCTCACCCCTCTCCCTGCCATTCAGGGCCACTCCCCACTGGCTGACCTGAATGCTTCTCAGATGATGTTCCACCTCAGAATGCTCTTCCTTGGTACCCAACCTAAACCTCACTGAAGTCTGAAATGTGTTGCTGAATTTTAGTTCAAGAGTTTGCCCTAGGAATGATGTAGGGACACAAAATAATTGCAGTAGTCTTCAGAGCCTGTAATTTGGTGAGTTAGGAGAGATAAAACACAGGCATAGTCATGGTATGTAAAATGCCTAGGGGCTCATTCGTCCTCTGAAGACTGGGAGAAATGAGAGATGGAGTCCTTGGGGTATCGAGAAAGGCTTTGTGAGAGACAGTATTTGAGCAAACTGAAAAGGTTTACATTTTTTTATCGTCTGGCCATGACTCTCCTGTACAGATCAGTCCTTTTGGTATCGTTAAATCTCACCAGAACCCCCAAGCCCACTCACTCTTACCTCTTCACAGCCACAAATAGGGTCCTATACAGACCCAATTTATTCCATGTTTGGCCAAATTCCTGGCAATCATTCCAGTCCTTCCCTTAGACACCCTGTCATTCCTTTGCCTCTCCATAGTCACATTTTCATGAAATAATAATAATAACATGGAATACCATTCTCTACCCATTCTGTAATTAGTCTCAAGATGTTGAACCTGGCCAGAACAAAAACAAACAAAACCATTTGCTAGATTAAAATCTGTGACCAGAAGTCAGGCAGGTGGCTCTGTGAGGTCAAAATCAGCCTGGTCTACAAATCAAGTTCCAGAACAGTTAGGGATGTTACATAGTGAAATCCTGTCTTAGGGGGAAAAATCCATGACCAGAAATTTTGATACAGCCTTTTGTAAGTCATATGTATTTTCTGGGTCCATTCACTCTCACACAATATTTCACACTCTTCCATTCCCTAACCTACAGTTCCTCACTTCCAAGTGATGGCCTTGATTTCTTCTTGCCAGTCTCAGTAGATACCAATCTCTCTACATATGCACTAAATTCCATCTCCTCTTATGTGCTAGATGGCATTACTGTAGCAAACACTATTTCTCCTACATCAAGTTGTCTGTCTTTGATGGGTATTACTATGAGCTTATTATCTCCACTGTTGACCTTTCGCCCTATTTGTAGAAAAACTTGCTGGGAGAATTCCATATTTGCACTGTGTCAGAGTCTTATTCTTGAATTCCACTTTTTTTTCTGTAATGTTGGGGATTGAACTAAAGATTCCATGCATGCAAGGCAAGTGCTCTACCAACTATGTCCCCAAGGCTTTCTAGGAGTCCTGTCCTTAAGTCTATCACTGCAGGCTTCCTATACTCCATCTACTGAAACTAATCTTGTCAAGAATTCTTCATCATTCTTGACTTACTGACTGAATCCAACATAACTGTTGCTCCATCCTGGGTAAAATTCTTCCATTTTCCTCCTAGGATAGCAGCCTCTCCCTCACTCAGTCAGGAGGTGGGATTGAGTGTGTGTGTAGAGAGACTGGTGTCTAATGAGACTGGCAAGAGGAAATCAAGGCCACTCCTTGGGAGTGAGGATGGGTAAGGAACTGTAAGTTAGGGAAAAAGAAGTGAAATACTCAGTCTGAGGGTGAATGCACTCAGACAATACAGATTCCTTCATGTCTCTTCTCTCTTAAACATCAAAGAGCACTGGGACTTGCTCCCTGGTTCCCTTCTCATTTCTACTAGTATCTATCCCTTTGATACCTATTCTGAATTGTGTGTGTGTGTGTGTGTGTGTGTGTGTGAGTGTGTGTGTGAGTGTGTGTGTATGTGTGTGTGTGTGTGCTCTCATGTCTCATCTCCAGATGGCAAATTAACACCTCCACACAGATGTTTACTAGACACTTTTCACACGTGTGCACATGTATGTATATATATATATATATATATATATATATATATATATGCACACTTCTCAGAGCCTTCTCTACTTGTTCCGGCCTCAGCTGACCGCTCACTTCCTCCCATCACCTTTCAACACCATCCTGGGGCCTCTCTCTTCTTCACCAGTACCTACAACCCCAGGATTTCATCTTCTGTGGTTTCCTGGTTGTGTTCCCCTTAATTTTGCTGGAACAAATTTCGATAACACTTCTAAAATGAAACAGTGCATAAGAGTGAAAATCACTGATATTTTAAACATGTAAAAAAGTTTTTGTCCTGTAATTTCATATGGCAAATGATTTTCTTTTATTTTAAGTCATAACACCATTGTTTTCTAGCTCCCAAGATTCCTATTGAGAAGTCATTCTTGCTACTTTTTATATGACCTGAAATGATCCCACAATCAAGTTCATCATCATTTCATTTTTTCCTTCTTTCTAGAAAAAAATATTTCATATACTTCAGAATCCTATTTTCCTAGTGCCTTTTTTGAAAATAGTATTTTTTAATTTTAAATTTCCAAAAGCTCTTTGCTATGATATGATTATTCTGTTATTGAATACTGTTTCCTTCCATGAATATAAATTCTCTCATCTTTAAGGATTTTTAAGTAGTGTCAAGCTATCTTCTGCCCCCTTGCAATATTCTATTTCCTCCAACTTCATGTTTCAATTTGCATAATTAGTTTTCCTTGCTTTCTTCCACAGTGGAAACCATTCGACAATATCTGGCTACACCTGGTGTTCATTTGTATTGAAGAACACGGTACTAAATTGTTCACTGAAGACATAAATTGGTTGGCTGTACTGCAGTCACTTCAGAGCAATCTGGTGTCTATTCAATGTTCTCATTTAAGATTGCCAAATGTGCCCCCTTGGCATTCTTTTATGTGGCATCTGCATACTCTAAAGAAAGATCCTCCAGTCCTCTGTCTGCTGCTGGCCTTCTGGTGTTAGGAATAGAAGAAAACGCCTGAAGACCTCACTGTTCAGCATGGTATTCACCTATCTCCTTGATCTCTCTGGGGAAGATAAGCACATACCCACCTCACATCCCTACTGTCTCATTGTCCCAGACAAATCAATAAAGATGTCCACAGCCAAGGGACATGGATGTGTCACTGGCTACAATGGGAGGTCACAGCAAAGGTCTAGGATGACAAAATGTGATTGCTGTCCTTTTACTGCAGATGCATGTGAAGGGCTGCAGAGAGCTGGAACAATAATCCATCTACTATCCAGACCACCTCCCACCACCCCTTTCCCAATTCATGACAACTAAAGAACATACACCCCGAAAATTAAGTTAAAATCAGCTGTGAATAAATCTGATACAGTTTGCATTCGAAATTTGCCCATTCTAAAAATTGCTCACATCACCACTTACCTCCAATAGAATAGGTAATTCAGAAAAGGCATACATTGACTCAGATAATTTTCTGAGGATCCCCATTCAGCAATCCAGTCCCTTCTATTTCTTTTCTTTTTGCTGTTACTGGTTCTATTGTTATAGTCACTATTACTTTTGTCAGACAGGGTCTCACTATGTAGCCCTAGCTCACCTGGAACTTACTATGTAGTCCAGGATGGTCTCCAAGTGATGGCAATCCTCTTACCTCAGCCTCACAAGAGGTGGGATTACAGGACTATACCACAACACTCACCATGGCCCTTTCTGTATCTCATACCAAAAGCTGGTGTGTGCTATGTGGAAAGAAGGAGAAGTGGGTCACTAAGAGGAACATTTGTGCCAAGCAGAACCATGCCTTTAAGTCACTCCTCATTCACTCCATGTCCTTCTGTTAAAAATATAAGTATAAAAAATTAAAATGGCCCGTCTCCTTATGGAGTCCCTCACCCATTGCTAGGGACAGTCACCAGTTCAAAGCAGGGCAAGGCAGAACAAAGGCATTGTAGAAGGCTCAGAAAACAAAACAAAATGTGAAAAGGATATAAAAGGCTATAAACAATTCTTGCTTTCTTCAAGTTCTGCATATCCAGCAAAAACAAAACCAAATATCTCTATTACTTCCATTACAAGATAAACCTTTTATTTCTCTACTCTCATTGTATCAAATGCTGGGCCCTTCATAATGCCCAGGGTAGTGGGAAGAATTTGCTGCCCATGAACAACATTTTGTATTCACTTTGTCATGTTTACTGTTATGAGCAGTATCAGAATAAAACGTCTTCATCTAATGCAGCACTTTCTCCCAATACACCCTTAAGAACACAGAGACTGAAGAAAATCTGAGAGTCCCAGAAGTGTTCTGAGCTTCAGGCATAACAAAAGCTCTGCTATGCTGTGTAAAAGTAAGCCCTGATCCACAGATACAACAAGAGCACATTTCTGTCTTGTGCCTTTCATCTCGGTATGTCTGAATTACCCACATCCTGGAGGTCTTCCACAGCCCTCCCTCAACTCCAGAGCTCCCCTCTCTCCCAGCAGAAGGTTGTGATGTTTCACAGCTGTGTAAACAGGGAGAAACAAGCACAGCTCACTATAAAACATAATCCTCATACTTCAGCCTGTGCCATCCTTCCTTTGGCTTCATTATTTGCAAAGAAACATTGTGCTCAATTGAATATATATTCAAGTCTGAAATTTCAGGTGTCAGTTAATGAGCACACTTTGTGAATTACTTACTGCCCACGGTAGACATCCCAAAGCATGTAATCTTCCAAATACCACTCCTTCCATCTCATAGGTTTTAATAAATTATTTTAAAATTTGCTCCAAAGCTTTGATTTCCAAATGACCTTCCCCTCCAAGGATTCTAGAATTCACAGAGTTGCTGTTGATTTTTTTTAATCCTAGGAGTCAACAAACAGAAAGCAGTTACCTTCAAGGAACGGAGTCTCTTGTCTAGGGCACGAGCCAGTTCCAACATCATTGCGCATGGCACAGCTGAATCAGTGGCTCCCACAAACACTCTGTTGCCCCATTGAGGTAAATATTTGGAGTCATAGTGGCAGGCAAGGACCAAGTGTCGTTTAGCTTCTGGGTTAAGAGTGCTGATGATATTTGAGAAGGACCTGGACCCATAGGGTGTCTGACTCAAGAAGGTGTCCACTTCCACGACCCACTCAGCCTGAAGCCTCTGAATTCGCTGCATGATGTGCTGATCAAAACAAATGATTTTCATTGGTTAGTTGTGTCTCTAATATTGTATGTGATGCCTTCTTTGGTTGCTGTTGGAAACAGTCTCTCACTCTGTAGGCCAGGCTAGACTGAAACTAAGTGCCCAAATGCTGGGATTACTGGCACACATGCTTCGAATGCTTACTGGTAGTAATAACATTACTAATAGTTGTTATTTTAATTAATAGCAATTTCTCATGGAAAAAAAGAGGCCTATCTCCCTCAGTCCTAACCTTTTGCCTACTTATCCATCCTATTCAGTTGTCAATATTTACCAACACTAGCAATCTGATGTAGATCTTTCTACATGCTTCTCCTTGATTGCACAAACCTCACCAGCATACAAGCTCATGTATTTGAAAGAGGGAGGGTGTTCTTTTGTAGGAAAAGTGACATACTTTACATAATATTTTACCCTTGCTTTTTCCACTTAACCATCTATCATGGTCAGGCGACAAATCCAGCTCAGCACTCCTAAAGACTGCTTTTAACATTTGTAAGAAGTCGAGGTAGTCTGAGAAATTAAGCATATCAAATCTATAAGCCTCCACTCTAAGCTCTCAATGGCAGCTCTGTGTGTGTGTGTGTGTGTGTGTGTGTGTGTGTGTGTGTGTGTGTAATGCACAGAATGTGCTCCAAGTCCTACAAATGCTTCATGTGTGTGAACACTAGTGGAAGACACAAGCGCCTACCTACTGAGGGTTGTAGAGAAAGTTCCCATAGCAATGGATGGATGAGAATATGGTCAGGCCCTGACTAGAGTAAGAATCAGTAAGCAACTCTGACTCAAGTTTTCCTTCCTTAGCCAACGTAGGTCCAGTCCTGAATCTCTTGTGGCAACTCTGGGCCTTTTGAGCAGCACAATGACCAAGGCAGGAAGCAAGAAGTGAAGAGAGAAATACCATGCCAGGTACTGAAAGAGTCTTCCTTAAGAATCTAAAGTGTTTTGGTATGAGATGAGCTCATTGTTATTTCATTTTGTCTTTTCCCCATCCTTATTTTTCCTTGGCCTCATTTCTCTCTTTATATTTCTTTATTTCCCCCTCTAGTATTGTGTTCATCTCTGTAAGATGCCTTATTAAAACTTTTTTCAACCTCAAACACAAATGAGTCATTATAATAACTGATAATTTGTCCCACAATTAACATCTAGAAAGGAAGGGCCTTGAGATGATGAACAAATAACTCAGTATAGCTGGAAACAAATGGGAGGGTTATTTTTCCTCCCAAGAAATACAGGATTTTCTATTCTGGCCACGTCTTGTGTGGCCTATGGCCTGCTGATGTAACATGGCACACAGGCAAAAGGGGCTTTGGACAAACTAGAGCAAGAAGCTTCCAAAGAGAGGGGAACTTAAACAGAAGGGTGAAGGCTCTAACATACACACCATCGATCTTGAAAAAGCCAAATAAAGGCAATCCCTTTGGCCTGTGCAGTTGTTAAGTTAGTCTTTAACCTAAACAGCTCTTGCCATCATTCACCTTCCTTTTCACTACCATTCTACATGTTGTCTTTGTTCAAGTCATAAAAAGAAACATCTAAAGCCTTTCACAACCAGCATTCCTATCCCATTTATTTGGTTATGCCTCACAGTTCCTATACTATGCTTAGTTCACAGTAGTCTATCACAGAGAATAGAAGCTAGTTGTAACAGTAAACATGTTAATGTAATGAGAATATGTAAAAATCACATGATGTAGAAGTTTGACTAGAGAAACGGGAAATCACTGTGCATCTAAGATGAGTTTTTCCAAAAAAAGATGAAAATGAGTTATCCCTAGACTTTGTTTAACTCCTGAACATCTGGTGTCCAGATGACAAACCGTTCCATAAAATGGCTTCTTGACATTGGTAGTAGCCTCGGAAATGAATTGGTATTTTAAAGTATCTGTTAAAGATTATCTGTGCGCATTGTTCAGGAGCCTCACCCAGAACTTCGTTTCCCATCTCAGTTCCCTGCCCTTGGCCGTGACTTCTAACATCTATATGCATGCTAACATCCGAAAAAAATAAAAGTCGGAAAGAGCCCCAGATTGCTGTCCCTAAAGGAACCTTTCTGCATGCAGCATAAATATTTTAGTTATCTTAGTAACAAAGATGAAATAAGGATACCAAGACTCATAGTGTTTTCAGCTTCCAAATTTATTTAGTCTCCAAGTCTGCAACAGAGGTCTCTGAAGGGGCGTTCTCCAAACCACTACTTTTATCACAATATTCCTAAGGTTTAAACATTCGTGTCTCCCTGATTCAAAGAGATTGTCCCTCCAGGAAGGATGAAGGGTGAGGGTTGAATAGACTATTACCTGGCACTCTGATTCTGGATGAGGTAATGGTGAAAGTTGTTCTAGGTTAACATTAGTGAATGGTTCTAGGTCTAATTTAATTAAATTAAAATTCTGATTTTGAGTATCTGAGGAATTGTGACTGATGGGGTTGTCCTCCTGTATATATGTTTCTCTTCTTGGTTAATGAATAAAACACTGTTCGGCCAATGAGGCAGGAAGATAGGCAGTCTAGGAGACAAGGAGAATTCTGGGAAAGGTAGGCAAAGTGAGCTTGCCACACAGAGTCACAATGCTGCTGGAGGACTAACACCATGCCAGGGCATTATTTGGTAAACCACAGCCTCATGACAATACATAGATTGATAGAAATGGGTTAATAGTTAAGACAGAGCTAGCCCTAGTCATCAGCCAATAGTTTCATAATTAATATAGCATCTGTGTGCTTATTTTGGGCTGAAGCAGTTGTGGGACCAGGCTGGTGGGTCAGAAACTTTCTGCAACATGTGACATCATCAGTAGACCAGAATTGTTCTGAGGAAGTAGTCTGCAAAAGTGTGATTGTTGGGGCTCTGACCCTGCCATGGTGGACTTCCAGTTAACAGTTCTCTAGACTATTCCCCACTTAGGCTCTGGGATCCAAGCTGAAGACATTCCACCCAGTGTCCCCCATTGAGGACAGTGCACCAGCAATATGTACACCTTTCACTAAGTTCAGTTTTGACTTCCCACAACTCACTGTGAATCCCTGATTTCTTTGGTTTGTCTCTTTTAGAAAAGGATATTGATTGTCCCTCATGAGAATCTGCCACCCTGTGACTCAATTTACTTTCTGCATCTACACTAGAAATCATTGAAATGCCCCAAATTTAATGCTTTAGATTTACTTGTTTTATAAATGAGTTACATCCTGGATGGACATCTTTTAAATCATAACAATACCTGTGCATGCTGTGTATGCTATATATTCCATAAAAGACAGAGCTCAAGGATGTTCACTATGTTTATGACCTTCCAGAGTCCACAAACAAGGAGCTTGGGCCTCCAGTATACATATGAGTATCTGAGTGTAGGTGGCCTTCTGAACTCACAGGGTGAGAAAATGGGAAAGGTAAAATCACGTGAATATCCTAGACATGGATTGTTTCCTAATGAGGAGTTGAGTATTTTGGTAAATGAAAATTCAAACCCTTTAAGAAAATTCTTGCTGGGTGGTGGTGGCGCACACCCTTGATCCCAGCACTCAGAAGGAAGAGGCAGGTGGATCTCTGAGTTTGAGTCCAGCTTAGTCTATAGAGTGAGTTCCAGGACAGCCAGGGCTACACAGAGACACCCTATCTCAAAAGCAAAATACAAAAAGCCAAAAAAAAAAAGAAAAAGAAGAAAAGGAGGGGAAGAAGAAGAGAAGGAAAGAAGGAAGGAAGGAAGGAAGGAAGGAAGAAAGAAGGAAAGGAGAGGAAGGAGAAGAAAGAAGTTAGTTCTTAGGACATGAGGCCTTAAGAAAACTATGAGGTAAATGTACCTCACTCTCCAGTGTACCACAGCTGATGCTATTGGGATTCATTTATCATTGATCTAATTTCTCCCAAACCTCCAGTGATAGAAAATCATGCAGATCTGAGTTCAAATTGCTAGTACACACTTAACTTCAGATCCTGGGAGAGTGAGGTAGGAGGATTACCTCAAGTTTAAGTCCAGCCTGGGCTACAGGATTGCAAATACACTGTATATGTGTATATGTATACATACATACATACATACATACATACATACATACATACATACATACGGATAAAAAGAAAGGAAAGAAGGAAGTGAGGAGGAAAGGATGAGGTTAGCCATCATTGTCCTCATCGTCATCATTCCACAGTGTTTCTGAAGGCTAAAAGAACTAAGTTTGTTAGGGTCTTACGTACAGGAGCTATTCAAGTGGGAAGCAGGAGACCAAAAAGCCAACAAACAGTTCTCTCCAGGCTACCCAGAAGCTACACTGCAGATAAAGGAGAGCTATGAGCTGGTTAGATGAAATATGCAGGCACAGCAGTAGTTGCCAAGGTTTTTGTCTAAGAAGTTGAGCAAGTAGAATATTCATTAAGAGGCTTTGAGAGGCCAATATCATTTCTTCTCAAGCTGTCTCCAGAATGGGATTAGTTTGGAAAAGCAGACATGGAGAGGTGGATTTCATGTTGCCCAGGCAGATTGACATAACACAGAGAAGTTCAAGGTCTAGTCCAGCTGATGGGTTATTTACTCTACAGCAGTGTCATCCAAACAGCAGTAGCAAAATCAATGAACCTAGAAATCAGTTTAGTGGGTCACCATGGGCATTTCCTTCAATTCACAAAAATAGAATGTACAATATCCAAGCAAATTACAGGTGATGACAATGAATAGTTTTCCAAAAACTTCTGTTAGAGCTAAATATATTATTCTACATCCTTGTCTGTGAAATAAACAATGTTCCTACTATGGGTCAAAGTTTGAGAAGCTCAACTCTAGACAGAAGCTAACCACTGTCCATAGCACCCCTCCAAAAAAAGAAACACCACAATTTCCCACAAGAGGAAAGGAGGCTACCTCAGTGACTCACTCTTGCCCTGGAACTGCTAAGCAAGCATTATAAAAACTGTTGAAGTTTTGGATTTTAGAGCTCACAGACGTTGGTTAACAAGCTAGGGTGTGTTATTAAAGTGACCAAGAGTGGAGGAATGAGTACCCTCCGGTGCGTCCCTGCTCTAGTCATTATGGTGATTTCACATACAAACTGACTTTCAGTACATGCACATTAATCAATCCAGAAGACACGTTTATTCTCAGCTGTTAGACTGTCTCGGTTACCTCTAATAGTGAGTAATGAGATGATGTATCCAGATATTACACAACTCAGAACTCTAGCCATCATCTCATCCCCCACGGTAAAGCAAAGCACTTAAAGACTTTAGGGGTGTGTGTGTGTGTGTGTGTGTGTGTGTGTGTGTGTGTGCACATGCGCATGCTGCGTTCTCACCTGACGGGCAGAATAGCTTCCAGGTGATCCTGGATAGCGTTCTATCAGCAGTGGCCTCAAGTCATTTTGCCACATTTCAGAAATACTGGTGCCTTCTGCAACTTGCCGAAGAGATGAAGAATTCAGATGTGTTGGTTGATGGCGGTTCTGCAATTGAACAAAATGATTTAGCTCTAATTGCATGTGATAAGACACCATGTAACATCTGTGATTAGTAGCTCTAAATCCTCAAAATACAAGGAATAAGGTTTGTGTCATAAGAGTTTAAGGACTCAACTGTAAAATTGGACCCTTGAATCTTCTAGATTTTGGCAAATTGATTTAAAAGCAAAATTGACAGTATGCTTTCACTGTGAGAATATTTCACACACAACCTGTGTAATTTAAAATTTTTTTCTGGATCAATGCATTGTAAAACTAAGGTTTAAAAATAACAATTATGGGTTTGTGAAATGGCTCAATAGATAAGCACTTGCCAACAGGCCTGGAGACCGGAGTTCTATCTCTGGGACTCACATGCTGGAAGAAAAGAACTGACTCCAGCAAGTTGACCTCTGACCTACACATACCATATACACACCATGGTACACACACACACACACACACACATGCACACGCACACACATACACATATACACCATGGTATACATACACCCACACATACACATAAATAATCGCCATTAAAAAAAATTTTAAGAACAACTATATGAACATTTAGGAGTCAGAAGCATGAAGATCACAAGTTCAAGGTCAGCCTGGGCTATACAGAAGAACCCTATGTTAAAACACCAACACTACAAAAACTAATAACTATGAGACTATTATCTGAAGAAAAGTTAGTACTTAGAAGCTGCAGACAGCAATGAAGTGCACTTTGCTGGTATTGCTGTTCTACGAAAGGAGTGCATTATGGGTATTTCAGAACTGCCTGTCAGAGAGGTTGCAGGTGAGACTCCCAGCTGCCATCTATACAGACTCCATGACATCAGCCAGTTCTCTTAACGTATCGCTCCCCAGAAAACACTAGTAAAGAGGTTTGTGTTAGAGCTACACTATCCAGTGTGGGAGGCCACTGGCCATACAAGACTATTTAGTCTTCAAATACAGCTAGTTAATTAAGATGTGCTTTAAGTGTACCAGACATACCAGGTTGGTGGGGTTGGGTTTTTTGATTTTGGTAGTGGTGGTGTTTTGTTTTGTTTTGTTGGTGGTGGTGGTGGTGGTGTTTTGTTTTCCTTTGTTTTTATTTTTGGTTTTGTGACAGTGTCTCACTATGTATCCTTGGCTGATCTGGAACTTATGTAGACCTGGCTGGCCTTCAACTCTGGGATTAAAGGAGTGTACCACCACACCTGGCAAGCATGCCAACTTTTAAGATATTTTGATTTTAAAAAAGAAATTATGTCATTCATACTTTTCTGGTTATATACTGAAACAATCTTTAATATACAATAAGTGAAATGACTGTTAAAATTAATTTCATTGGTCCTGCGGCGGGTGCCCGAGCCTCAGGTGAGTCTGGGTGCTGCTCTGCCCCCCTCTGCCATCCCGCTGCTACCAGAGGCTGAGCCCTCCGCCAGCCACCTGAGAGAGAGAGAGAGACCCCACCTGCACTCACTGGAAGATGGGATGAGAAGAAGACAGAGTAAGAACAAACTCAACAACAGAAAAACCAATACGACAACACCAGAATCTAGGGACTCCACACCAGCAAGATCTGAAAAGCCCAATACAGAGCATGAAGAAGAGATGGACCTCAAAAATTATCTTAGGAAGATGATAGAGTCCTTTAAAGAGGAAACAAGAAAATCCCTTTAAGAAATAGAAGAAAAAAAAGCAAAAAATTATATGAGATGGAGGAAAAGACAAACCAAAAAAAAAAAACAAGAAGTAAACAAATCTCTTAAAGAAAGCCAAGAAAAAACAACCAAACAAGTGAAGAAAGCACTCAAAACAGTTCAAGGCATGAAAGCTGAAATTGAAACAATAAAAAAAAAAACACAGAATGAGGCAATGCTGGAAATAGGAAGGCTGGATAAAAGATCAGGAACTAAAGATGTGAGTATAGCCAATAGAATTCAAGAAATGTAAGAGAGAATCTCAGTTGTTGAAGACTCTCTAGGGGATATACAGTCATCGACCAAAGAAAATTTCAAGTCCAACAAATCCTTAACACAAAATATCCAGGAAATATGGGACACCGTGAAAAGGCCAAACCTAAGAATAATAGGTTCAATACAGCTCAAAGGTACAGAAAACATATTCAACAAAATCATAGAAGAAAACTTCCCCAACCTACAGAAGGATATGCCTATGAAAGTACAAGAAGCTTACAGAACACCAAACAGACTGGACCACAAAAAGAAATCCCCTTGACACATAATAATCAAAACACCAAACCTTCAAAATAAAGAGAAAATATTAAGAGCAGCAA